AGAGAGAGAGAGAGAGAGAGAGAGAGAGAGAGAGAGAAGACCTACTGTATGAGCCCTGACTGGGGATCGAACCTGCAACCTAGAAATGTGTCCTGACCAGGAATCCAACCAGCGAGCTTTTTTTTTTTTTTTGGTGTATGGGATGATGCACCAACCAACTGAGCCACCCGACCAGGGTTGTAACCACCTTTTTCTTTTTTTTCTTTTAAATATTTTTATTGGTTCCAGAGAGGAAGAGAGAGAAACATCAATGATGAGAGGGAACCATTGATTGGCTGCCTTCTGCACGGGCCCCTCACTGGAGACTGAGCCTGAAACCCAGGATGTGCCCCTGACCAGAATCGAACCCAGGACCCTTCAGTCCAGTCCGCTGGCCGACGCTCTGTCCACTGAGCCAAACCAGCCAGGGCTGTAACCGCTTTTTAACAGGAAGAAGGGACTCTGGAAGTCAGGGAAGACTTCCTGGAGGAGGTGGCTGAGCTGAGATTTGAGGGATGAGGAGGAAGAAGTAGGAAGGAAGGAGTGTCCCAAGCAGGGGAAGAAGCACCCTTTACAGAGGCCGCACTATTTGGCATTTCTCTGTGACCTCAGGACGCCCTCCATGCTCTTTCCTCTCCTCATGACCTCTTTTTGTGTCCCCTGACCTACGACGGACCTGGAGGCACCTCCCGGTGGCCTGTGACCACCTCCCCTTTTTCTCCCCTGGACCCTCACCTGGGACCTACCTATTCATTCAGGCTGCCTCTGCCAACCTTAATCCCTCTTCCCACCGTGACCTCCCTTTGGACTCTGGACCCCCACCCAGGACCATGTCTCTGGCCCAGGACCCGCCCTCTGACATCCGGACCCCTCCCTCCCCCCTTTTCGTCCCCTCCCCCCAGGATGAAGGACGGCGTGGAGATGACGAAGGAGGACTCCTACAAGGCGCGGTACCGCTTCAAGAAAGACGGGAAGCGTCACATTCTCATCTTCTCAGAAGTGACCCTGGAAGATGCGGGCCGGTTCAAGGTCATGACCAATGGCGGCCAGTGCGAGGCTGACCTCATCGTGGAAGGTTCGGGGGCCCCTGGGTGGGGCGGGGGCCCCGGCACATGCTTCTCCCTGCTGCTCAGCGTCACTCAGGCCCCAGTTTGGGATTGTCCTTGATGCCTCTCCTTGCCTCACCCCCTTCATGCAATTCACCAGCAAGTCCTCAGAGGGGATCCTGAATCTGACTTCCCCCACCTCCGTGGTCCCTCTCCGCCACCCCCCGCCCACTGGCCCTGGTCCTGGTCTCCATCCCCTCATGCTCAGACCATTCTATACGGTGTCCCAAAATTCATGCAAGAAGTAATTTTGATAGAAAATACAGGTTTATAATTAAAAATGGTAATTTTTTTTTATATATATTTTATTGACTTTTTACAAAGAGGAAGGAAGAGGGATAGAGAGTTAGAAACATCGACGAGAGAGAAACATCGATGAGCTGCCTCCTGCACACCCCTCACTGGGGATGTGCGAATCTGATTCAATAAACCAAGTAAAATTAGGCTTTTACTTTTTGTTGCATTTGCAAAATTCAAATCTTGCGTGAATTTTGGGACACCCTATAGTAGTCTCCTTGCTGGTTGTTCTGTTTCCATACCTGCTCCCATCACACACACACACACACACACACACACACAGACACCACCCCCCAACCAGTGATCCTTGTAAAACATCAGTCAGATGGTCACCCCTGAACACCTCCTGTCGTCTGGGTGATGACAGTATTGCTCCCATGCCCACCTTCTGGATTGATTATTGGAGTATGGGTGTCTAAGATGTCACCTATTTTTGCAAACTCCTGTGAGTCTATAATTCTTTAAATATGACAAAAGCTCGTGTGGCCGGCATGGCTCAGTGGTTGAGCACTGACCTCTGCACCAGGAGGTCATGGTTTGATTCCTGGTTGGGGGCTCAGTCCCCAGTGGGGGGTGTGCAGGAGGCAGCCGATCGATGATTCTCTCTCATCATTGATGTTTCTCTCCCTCTCCCTGAAATCTATAAAAACATATTTAAATATGACCAAAAAAAATCAAGCCATTTATGGACCAAGTTAATTACGTCATATTCACATGTAGCCCTAAAAACGGGCAGCTTTTAATTTACTGATGTGGAATTATTTCCAAGACACAGTAAGTCCTTACTTAACGTCGCCGATCGGTTCTTAAAACTGCGGCGAAATGACATATAACGAAACCATTCTTACCAAAGGCCAAGTGACAAAAACAAGAGTTAAGTTTCTGTCATATTTTTTTTTTATTAGTTAAGGTATTACAAATGTGTCCTTATCCCCCCCATTAACCCCCAACCTCCCCCCGCACACACACTCATGCTCCCATCCCCCTGTTGTCCATGTCCATTGGTTTGGAAGTTCCTGTCACATTTGATCGATGTTACTACGAAGTGATGTTGAAAGAAATGACGTTATTCGGGGACCTGCTGTATATTTTTAGGAGAAAAAGCAAATGTGCTGTTATTTGCATACTAGAGGCCTGTTGACAAAAAGATTCGTGCAATAGGCCTTCCCTTCCCCGGCGGCCGGCACTGGTTTTCCTCCGGCCCCCGGGACCCAGGCCTTCGCTCCGGCTGGAGCCGCCTTCAAGCCTTCGCTGCCCTGCTCAGAGGCTGGCAGCGGCAGGCTGGGAACGTTGGCTTCTCCATCACTGGAGCAAGCAAGCCTCCTGTTCGCTTCAGCTGCATGGCTGCCAGCTGCCATCTTTGTTGGTAGTTAATTTGCATATCCTGCTGATTAGCTAATGGGAAGCATAGTGGAGGTATGGTTAATTCCCATGTTTGTCTATTATTAGATAGGATGGGGGAAAGTGAGGAGGCAGGGAGGGAGGGAGGGAGGAAGGGAGGGAAGACAGAAAGAAAATGTATGTAAGTATCTGCTTTTACAGCTGTAGACTGGATGGGTGACGCCTTTAGAGAAGGGCCTACATCTAGATGATTGGTGGTGGGTGGGGATGAGACTTCCCCTCTATATCTAAAGCCTCTTCTAATTTAATTTAATTTTTGTTCATTCTCACTCGAGGATATATTTTCTATTGATTTATTATTATTTGTTTATTTTTATTGATTTCAGAGAGGAAGGGAGAGGGAGAGAGAGATAGAGACATCAATGATGAGAGAGAATCATTGATCGGCTGCCTCCTGCACACCCCACACTGGGGGTCGAGCCCGGAACTGGGCATGTGCCCTTGACTGGAATCGAACCTGGGACTCTTCACTCCATAGGTTGACGCTCTATCCACTGAGCAAAACTGGCTAGAGCTACTTTCCATTGATTTTTAAAGAGAGTGGAAAGGAGGGAGGGAGGAGAGAGAGAGAGAGAGAGCGA